CAAATCTAAGCTATTGTAAAATGTGCTGCTCTGAACATAGGGGTGCATATATCGTTTCTGACTGGTGTTTCTAGTTTCTTGGGATATATTTCTAGAAGTGGGATCACTGGGTCAAATGGGAGTCCCATTTTTAGTTTTTTGAGGAAACTCCATACCATTATCTACAATGGCTTCACTAGACTGCATTCCCACCAGCAGTGCACTAGGGTTTACTTTTCTCCACATCGTTGCCAGCACTTGTTGTTCATTGATTTGTTAATGATAGCCATTCTGAAAGGTGTGAGATTGTACCTCACTGTCATTTTGATTTGCATCTCTCCGATGATTAGTGACTTTGACCATGTTTTTATATGTCTCTTGGCCTTCCTTATTTCCTCTTTAAAAAAGTATCTATTTAGGTCCATTGTTCATTTTTTAATTGGATTGCTTATCTTCCTTTTGTTAAATTGTGTGAGTTCCCTGTAAATGTTGGAGATTAAACCCTTATCTGAGATAACATTGGCAAATATGTTCTCCCATTCAATGGTCTTTCTTGTTGTTTTGTTGATGGTTTCTTTTGTGCAGAAGCTTTTAATTTTGATGTAGTCCCATTTATTTATTTTCTTAGTTTTCATAAGAAATTGAAGGAGCTGTATTGGTGAAGATATTGCTTTGGCATATGAGTGAGTGTTTTTTTTTGTTTTTGTTTTTTTTTTTGCCTGTGGATTCCTCTAGTGAACTTGCAGAAAGACAGATTAAAGAAACAATTCCATTTACCATTGAGTACACACAAAATTAAGATACCTAGGAATAAACTTAACTAAGGAGGTAAAAGACCTGTACTCAGAAAACTACAGGACCCTGAGAAAAGAGATAGAGGAAGACATAAACAGATGGAAGAACATACAATGTTCATGGATTGGTAGAATCAACATCATTAAATGTGTCCATACTACCTAAAGAAATCTATAGATTCAATGCATTCCCCATTAAACAGCATATTTCACAGACCTAGAACAAACTCTCCAAAAATTCATCTGGAATGAAAAAAGACCCTGAATAGCTGCAGCAATCCTGAGAAAGAAGAACAAAGTAGGAGGGATTTCAATACCAGATATCAAGCTGTATTATAAAGTCACTGTTCTCAAAACAGACTGGTACTGGCACAAGAACAGACATATAGACCAATGGAATAGAATAGAGAACCCAGAAATCAACCCAAACCACTATGCTCAGTTAGTATTTGACAAAGGAGGCAAGAACATTCAATGGAGTCAGACAGTCTCTTCAACAAATGGTGTTGGGAAAATTGGACACATACATGCAAAAATATGAAACTAGACCACCGACTTGCACCATACACAAAAATAAACTCAAAATGGCTACAGGACTTAAACGTAAGATGAGAAACCATAAAACTCTTAGAGGAATCCACAGGCAGCAGCCAGGTATGTTCTTGCACCATTTTTCCTCAGAGGATGCTGAGGTGCAGGGAGGTTGAGAATAAATACTGGTCAGTGGCTCATGGGAAGGAAGGGGAGAGCAGAGCTGGGATTCACATCAGCACCAACTGAACCCACACCCCAGCGCCCTTCCAGGTTACCATGAAGACTCCATGATGAGAAGGAGAAGACTGGTACACATTAAGTAGGCTGTGGTCTGTTCCTTACCAGCTCTGTCACCATGACTCGATGAGGACCCTTTGACATTATTTCCAAAGAATTTCAAATATCAGGTATAAATAGAGACCAGCTCAGACCATGATGAAATTGCAGAGTTAGTGGTAATAAGGCTTTACTAGTATGTAATCCTGTACTCCACATCTCTCTGAAAAAGCACTTCATGGGATCTGTAGAACAATAGAGGGTCTTGGAAATAAAAATGTATCGCCCTCATATTTCAAGTGAGAGAGAAGGGGTAGAGAGAACTATGACACCCGAGGTCACAGAGAAAGTGACATCGCTGGGTTGGGAACCCAGGCCTTTGGCTGCTGTTGCAGGCCTCTCTCCACAGCGTTTTTCTCCCTCTGTACATGTCTTTGTTCTAATCCACTCTTCTTATATAGATGCCAGTGATGTAGAATTAGGGCTCACCCTGATGACCTCATTTTACCCAAAATTGCCTTTTTAAAGATCTAATCTCCAATACAGTCACATTCTGAGATCCTTATTATTGGGAGTGAGGACTTCAACATAGGAATTGGGGAAGACCCATAGCTATATGTCTGTTTCTGTCTATGTATCTATGTCTGTGTCTATGTTCATGTCTATACCTATGTATATATACATATATATATATATATATATATATATATATATATACACAAATCATCATTTGTGGGGCTTATTTGAACCTGAAATAATAATAGTGAGAACTCCTCCAAATCCTATTGTGTGACTGTGAAAGCATACATATTCCAAATCCAATTTCCCTAGCTTAATTAGCATGTGGCCTGCTAGCACAAACCCATTAGGGATGAGCATTCTCACAGTCAACTAATATCTAATTTCTGGGCTCCTGAGACCTACTGCTCCATTAATGTTGGAAGGGTGAGCAGAGCTGGGGTAAGTCACCGCGCCGCTGGCTGGCTGTCAGGAAGCCCATGTGGAGTCAGATCTGAAAAGGTGCACTGTGGGCAGAAAGAAAGGGGCTTGTGCTGCGAGCATTCCTTGGGCCTCCATTACTGGACTCTCTTTGAGACACATACTAGAGGCTGGGACACTTGTCTGTACACAAGAGACAAAAACATGAATGTGGGACAGTTACTCCTTTTAAGTGTTCAGGTTGTGTGAAACTAGAAAGGGTGGGTTTTTCTTTTCTTTTAAGGAATCACATTTATCCCAGAATTTGGCATATTCCTACACTCTTCCCTCCTTCCTTTTCCCCCCTTATCTTCAATTATTTATTGAGTGAGGGCCTGCTGTGCACGAGGCACTCTGCTAAGTCCTGTGGGAGATAGAGAGATGACTCGGTGGGGCTCTGCCATGCATGTTTTTATTCTGATAACCTGCTCCCTGTTCTGCTTTTGGTTATGTGTCCAGCCCTTGCTCTGCTAATTCCTGGCAAGTCTGAAAGGCAGTTGGGTGAACAGTGTCAGATCTTCTGAACCCTCGACATTCCCCTCCTCCCTGTAGAACTGATAGCACCTCCTGTCCCCCAGCCACTGGCTCCTGACCCCTCTGGTCCTGTGATGATCATTTGCCCAACTTGCCTCCCAGGCTGCTTTATTTTTTCCTTTTTTATGAGCAGCTCCTTCTGATTCCTCCTACTTCTTCCTCTTCTCACTGTGACTCTTTTCCTGATTCACACTGATCATTTCCGATGAGCCAGCTCAGTGTGGAAAAAGAAAGGATCTAGTGACCTGCTTCCTCTTTGCCCACGGTTACTTATTCTAGGGAACAATCATACTGCTTGAAGAAGTCCTTCCTTAGAGTTGAGGGTAAAAACCAGGCCTCCTGGGTTCATTTGTCCCTTGCTACAGCCCTCACCCCATCCTAAAGTTACTTCCCAGCCACTGGACATGGGGCAGTTGTTTAAATTTTTTTCAAAGTAAGATTGAAAAGGGCTTGGAGTGTAAAAAATGAGATTTCACAATGAGATTTAAACCTTATCTGCAGGTTATAAAATGTTAAAATTCATACCTGGAATAGAATTCAAAGCAGGCACAGGTTCCACTTGAAAATTCAATTCTTACAATTTCATTTGGCTGGGAAGACCTGGTCAGGCTTGCTGTTTTTTATCATACAGACACTGCCAGAGTTGTGTTCTCCCTACAGCTGCCACCCCTGGGAGACAGCCTTCCTTCTCCCCTGCTAATCAAATTCATGCCCCAGGCAAAGTCCTGCCCCTCTCTCAGGACTGCCTGACATCCATGAACTCCCTGAGGTCCAGCCTCTGTAAGCCATCTTTGCACCTCAGTAGCAAAGTCAGATCCTTAATAGGTTCTCAATAGACCTGTGGGAAATCTAGAAATGAGACTTTCTCCAGTTCCCTATAATCATTTCCCTGCTAAACCCCAGGGTGTTTTAGTGTCTGCACAACTCATTCAAAAACCGACTTCATTAATGAGCCCCTCTGAGAGGTCAAGGGGGAAAAGGGAGACATATATAATACTTCAAACAATAAAGAATTTAATTTTTTTTAAAAAAGATGGGATGCTTTGTCCTCTCCACTCAGATTGCCAGTACCTTGGGGAGAAGAACAGTGTTTCAATTTTGTCTCCATATTTCTCTTTGCTGCCTAGTGCAGAGATGGGGCTCACAAATATTGTTGATTTGAACCCTGTTCCTTTTTGCTTGACAGCGGTGTCTGTTGGGAGCCATACTTAGAAAACCGATTTTGCAGAAGCCACAATTTTGTTGTAAATACAGTTACACAAGGAGCCCGGCTTCCATGCTCTTCGAACGGAGAGATAAACGGTTATGGGCCCCCGTTGGTGCTTAGTTTGATGCAACTGCATTTATGGAGCAGTTGCTCTGCACCTGACACTGCCCCCGGCGATGCTCCTGCCTCACATCCTGCTGCTGGCCCCTGATTTGGGGATAGGCTTGTTCAGCTGGCCACAGATGACCAGGGGGTAGTGCACATGCTTCCAGACACCAGGCCTGGGCCCTTCTGGGTGGTCATGTGGACCTGCTGCTTGCTCAGTGCAGGCCCCTTTGGGGTGTGGGGGTGTGGATGGGTGCCAGCTTGCTGCCTCCTCCCTCTGGGAGCCAGAATAGATTTTGCAGCGAGTTCGATGTCTTGACTCCAAAAAGTCTGCACTGTGGCTTTTCAGGAAACTTCAAACTTACCTGCTTAAGAAATAATGCAAAGGGGAAATGAATGCTGGCAAGGCTAATAGGGATTTTCGGCTGTGTTTTCCCAAACCGGCCAGCTGGTCAGAGCATTCTCCTGTTAATTCACTGGCGTGATCTTGGCGGAAGCGCTCACCCCCCCCCCCCCCCCCCCCCCCACACACACACACACACACACTGCCTTCCCCCAGTTCCAACTGTTGTGCTGCAGCAGGAATTGGGTTGAATCTGGGCAGATCCCCTCTTCCCCCCTTTTAGGACCAGCCCTCGGGATTCTGTTACCGCACGAGGAGCCTGTGAAAGTGATCCTCGCCTTCCCGCTGCACACAAAGGCAGGAGCTCTTTAAGGGAGCCAACTGCCTGCTCCTCCGCACCGCTGCAAACCAGGGCTCCCGTGGGCTCAGCCACCCAAGCTTCTGCCTGACCATGAGTGGGGAGGGATCTTGAGGAGTCTCCCCCTCCCCCCCAGGACATCCCAGAGCGGGGCAGGGAGGAAGCAGACCGTCTGCGCGGATGGAGACCGCTGGCCCCCGGGGATCGGATTAGGATTAGCCGCTGCTCGGGATGCTCAGCGCGCTGCTGGAGCATCCTGCCTGCGGTCCAGAGGGCGCGGGCAGCGCACGCTGCGGAATGCCTGCGTGGATTTGACCCAGCGCCCAGAGGCGAGCGAGCCCGCATTCGGACACGGACACGGCGGACGGGCTTCCGGCCGGGTTGCGTGCAGGCAGCAGGCACGCTCAGCTCCAGGCGGCTGCGGAAGCCTCAGGGCTGCATGGCTTTGGCTGTTTAAAGCAGCGGAGATTCCTCCCCCGGAGGATCGGAGAGCTCGATCCGCGCTCCAGCTGTGACAACTTCGGGGCTGGCTGTTTACTTCTGAGGGCTCCGGGCTCCGTCCTGCACTGCAGCCGCTCCCGCCCGCTCCCCGTCTGCCGCCAGGACCCCCTTGCTGGCATCCCCAGGAAGGGGGCCAAGGAGGGGTTAAAAGACGTGCAGAAACCCTCCCAGCTACTCAACCTCTCGTGACTGCCTGGGGTCGGGGGTTCTGAGAGGGACCGTGCGCCGCCCGGGGAAGCGATGCAAGTCTCCATAGCCTGCACAGAGCACAATCTGAAGAGCCGGAATGGTGAGGACCGACTTCTGAGCAAGCAGAGCTCCAACGCCCCCAATGTGAACGCAGCCCGGGCCAAGTTCCGCACGGTCGCTATCATCGCTCGCAGCCTGGGGACCTTCACCCCTCAGCACCACATTTCTCTCAAAGAGTCCACCGCCAAGCAGACTGGCATGAAATATAGGTATGGATGGGAGCGTTCCTCATTCGGGGGGTGTGCCGTGGTCCTTACAGGTGCAGTGGAGACGGTTCCTCAGGTTTGCAAAGTGTGACTGACTTATTGGCGGGTCACCTAATTTAGCATTCTCAGGTGTCTCTGATATAGCTCCTTACGAGGGTAGGAAGCCCAAATTGTGGTGTGTGTGCATAGGATATATGTATGTGTGTGTATGTATGTATATATATATATATATATATATATATTTTTAATGCAGCCCATTTTCTATATCCTGAAGTGTTAGGTACACCTTAGGAGCTGTATGCAATCTAGTCTGCAGAGAATGACACAACTGCTGGGAACTGGGTAGCTTTGGGCAGCATGTGGTTGAGATCAGGGTAGCTTTTTCAGCAGCATGTGGTTGTCCTAGTTTAGGGTACAGACTGTCGTTTCTGTGATTATACGATTAAAAATAGTTTCCCATCTAGTACTCGTCTATCTCTTGAAGGATCCCGGTAACAAATGCTACACCAGCTTTTGAGGAAGTTTTGTTGCAAATGAGATGGAACACTGACATTTCAATCTAAACTGCTGCTTGACATAAAATGTAGATGCAGTTGTGAAGGATGGAGGAAAAAGTCGGTTGTAATACTACTAGTTTCCTCATAAAAATTTAAGGTCACTCTTCCTCCGTAGTTTTCAGTAGTTGAAAATCGCCTTGGTGATAGTTGATGCTCTCTTAAATAGGAAATGACTTAAATTTGAGAAGTAGAAAATGGCATTATTCAGTTATATGTCTCCTGCCTTTGCTTTGCACTGAACTTACCTGACGTACTGCTCTAAAACTACTGTGTTTCTAATCTCGAAGGATGTTTGCAAATGTTGAAGAGAAAAGCTATTAATGCATGTTCCAAAGGCTTCGGTCACCCTAACGTGCAAATATGATTTTGTCGATGATTTACATTTAACTGTCCAGCCTCTTTCTTAGGAACCAGGTTCTAGGATAGAAGGAATGTGATGCAATTAAAATAGTGCACACCCATGATTGTATCCCAGGAGGGATTTTTGAAATAAACATTTAAACCAATTTCTATAAAACTTGTCCTTAAAAAAGTTTCTTTGCAAAGTTATAGGAAAGCTTCTTATTGCACAAAAAACCAAAAAACAACAAACTTCAGGCATGTTGTTTTGATATATTTCTGAGGCATTAAGGAAGCAAGCTGTGAGTGAGGTTAGGGGTCAGGGCATTATACACCATCCCTATGACCTCAGCATAAGGCAAGCAGCCTGACTCCAGGCCGCTCCTTATGTGTCAGCAGGGTGTCTCTGGTTTCCTGATATTCCATGATGGAGAGCGGAGCCCACGGTGCTGGTCTGCTAACTGAGACTGCAGTCTTGAGTGCACTGGCACTTTTTTTTTTTTTTAATATATATATTTTATTGATTTTTTACAGAGAGGAAAGGAGAGAGAGAGAGAGCCAGAAACATTGATGAGAGAGAAACATCGACCAGCTGCCTCTTGAACACCCTCTACCAGGGATGTGCCCTCAACCAATGTACATGCCCTTTACCGGAATCGAATCTGGGACCTTTCAGTCCATAGACCGATGCTCTACCACTGAGCCTAACTGGTTTTGGCTGCACTGGCACTTTCTATTGCTGCTTCTGTGGCACACACCCAACCCCTGCCCCATGGACACAGTGCTGCTCTGCACCCGACTCAGCGGCTGAGGTGAAGATGGGCTGCTTGCTGCTTTCCTCTGCAGGGCCCCTAGGATGGGACACTCAGGGTTAAGGCAGATCAGAGAGGTGATTTGAATTGTGGTCTCCAGCATGTCAGCAGCACTGTGAGCTTCCTTTTTGGAAACCCGAAGAAATAAAAACCCTTCCTTTCTGGCGGCACAATTTCCTAGTTGCTTGGGGATCACTGTATTGGAAGAGATTGGTCTTATGCTGGCTTTCAGACGCAGGAGATTTCTATTAAGGGTTTTCTGGTAATAGTTGCTCAGCTCAGATGGGATGATAATTGCCTCTCTTTACCAAAAGGTGTGCAAGTAAGATTCACGTGGGCATCTCTCATTACTGGTAACTAAAACCTGCTCTTTTCTGGCAAAAAAGTAGCCACCTGTGGTCTTCAGGATACTCTGAATTCAATATGCTATTTGTTGTTTATGGTGACTGGATAAGATACCTGGTCTCCCCTCCCCCTCTAATTCTGAGCCTTCCTATCTGTGACTGGCAGGTGGTTTTGTGTGTGGGTATGATTTAACCCCTCTCCTTTTTCAAATTCTACTCAGAGTGACCTTAGGGAAAGAATCATGAGATTATACCAAATGTACACTGAAGTTTTTTAGTGTTGGAGAGACAGATGTGCGAGGAGAAAGAGGCTAACTGTACACTTTAAAAACCACTAAAGGAATCATTTTATTAGCACAGTTAACTTTTTTACTTTGACATTGATGTCACTAAAATATAATATCCATGTGTGGACTATTGATTGATGATAACAAATAGCAGAACATAAAGTACAATGCCATAGAGTTGGGGAGGGAATTAGCTTACATAAGTGATCAGAAAAATGTCTGAAGGAACTAGAATGGAAATTCAGTGTCTAATTGTGTTTATAATAATACTTTTATCCTTGCCCTGGCCAGTTGGCTCAATTGGTTGGAGTGTCATCCCGTACACCAAAAAGGTCTAAGGTTTGATTCCTGATCAGGTCACATACCCAGGATGCAAGTTCGATTGATTCTCTTTCAGGGCACATACAAAGGAAAGTGATCAATGTTTCTCCATCTCTTTCTCTCTCTCTCTCTAAACATATCCTTGGGTGAGGATTAAATAACAGTAATAATATTTTTTATCCTCAAAAATTATTGCATTAGGCATAGCTTCATCTGGATCCACAAACCCTAGAAGGTAAAAATTATAATCTTTTTGTGTATTTTTTTTAGGAGAGGGTTCTTAGCTTTCATCAGAATTTGAAAAGTGTCTACCACTCAAAAATTGTCCAAAAGCAGTGTTATAGAGTAAAGAGATTTTCATTTAGTCAACAAATACTTAATCACACCTATTCTGCACCAGGAACCTTATTGGAACTGGATGCACAAAGGTATAAAAACCAGGCAAGGTTTGGGGCTTACATTCAGGTTGGGAAAACAAACAAACAATAATAATCTATTGTAAGACATTCCCATGATGGATGTGTTTTGGAGGGTGATAGTCATGCCTGGGCAAACTTAGTTTAACCGTTTTGAGGCTATCATCTCTGCTTTAGTTTCAGGACTATGACTACATCTTGGAGCACAGGTAATTGTGTCCATATCTGCCACCTGTTTTTGCCACCCCAGGGACTTCTTTTAGGTTCCCATCATGCTGTAAGGTGCTGCCTTGCCATTGAGGACTTATCTATAACCCTGATAAAGAAATAGAATGCCTTCTGCTCATATAATGCAATAGGATTTTAAAAGCCCAACTCATATCATCATCTGTTATTACCATTCATTAATCAAGAACTCATGAACTTGGATTTTAGAAATAATACACTTGTGTGAAGCATCTGCATTCTGAAGAATAAAATGCTCAAAGCCACTATTAGATCCACACTATCCTTGTGCAAGAATCTTGCATAAAATTAGCTATTGTTTCAAGAATAAGGATGAAAAAATAATCAACGAGAACAATTTGCTACTCAAATGATACTGTCAGCCCAATGAAAAGATTCCACATTATGTTTATCCTGGGGACTATCCTATATGTAAATAACAGAACTATTTATTATATTACTTAGAGTGTTTACACTTGTGCTTTGGTAATGCATGAGCATTTCTTTATGCTAATTTTGTGTGTTTTTAATCTCAGACTTCATTAGACCATGCTGGAGTTTGATGTACAATCTGCAGCCATATGTGATAGATGTAGACACACACATGAGCCTTTCATCCTAAGAAAGCCAAATCACTCAGAACCGAAGCTAAGCCAGATTGGCTTGGTTATTTTTGCTTGTTTGGTTGTTGGTATCATTTTTATAAGGTTTTAGAATGAGTCAGCTACTAGATTTGACATCTTCGCAGTGCTTTTGTCATTCAGATTTGAGCACATTTGTACTGATGAACTACCTCCAATTCTATTGTATCATTTCTATCATTGTTACTTTAGCTCCAGAGCAATTTAAATATTGATGGATGCATTTTCATTGAGAAACATTTTCTCTGTAACCCATGAGTTCACGTCAATATAATCTTGTGCTGTATAGTTACATAAGACATGCTAAAATTCTTAAGATGATTCTTTGCCAGGAGGAGTATTGTTAGAGCAATAATCTAAATTCCACTAAAAAAAACTTGTTTCCAGTTTTTTAGGTCAATCACATGACCACTTTAGTGATTTAAAAGTTTTAAAAATAATTATAGATTCATAGGAATACACACACACACACACACACACACAATCACAATTTCTTTATACCTTTAATCCAGTTTTTTTCTAGTGGTCATATCTTATGTAACTACAGTACAACATCAAAACTAGTAAATTGACAGTAGTACAGTCCACAAATTTATTCAGATTATACCAGTTACATATATACTCATGTGTGAGTGTGTTTAGATGTCTACAGTTTCATCACCTGTGTAAGTGTGTAACTTCCACCACCATGAAGAAGCAGAGTTGTTCCATTATCACAAGACTCCTTCAAACTACCCCTTTACAGCCATAGCCATGTACTCCTCCCAGTCCCTAATTCTTGGCAACCACTAATTCGTGATCCATCTCTAATTTTGTTGTTTCAAAAACATTATATAAATGGAATCATATGATTTTTTAATATTTTGGAATTAACCTTTCCCCCCCACTTAGCATAACACTTTCGAGACCCATCCTAATTGTGTGTATCAATAATTCATGTCTTTTCATTGCTAAGTTGACTTCTATAGTGTGGATGTTCCACAATGTTTTTAAAAATTTCATCCACTGCCGAAACTGGTTTGGCTCAGTGGATAGAGCGTCAGCCTGCAGACTGAAGGGTC